TTTCAAGAATATATTATAGATCAATCATCAAACGTACTTACAAATTTCACTTAATCTCCTTAATCTAGCCTTTCCGTTCACAAATTTATACACGATCTATAGTGAACATTACAAGACAAACCTTACCCCATTGTTTTGTGTTCTTTCATGAACCCCCCAAAATCTTTACTAAGAATTCTCTCACATCGTGGGAATTGAGCTCTACAAAACTCACGCCCCTCCTATTTATACACAATAGGATAACACGGCTAACCCTAGCCTTGGTCGCTACTCCACGCAAGATCTTGATTTTTTCAAATATTCGTGAGTATATTCTCTTTCCTTATTCTTAGCACAAGATAAGGAAGGTTTTCAAGCTTGGATACTCTTCAAGTATATCCTCTAGCTTAGATGCGTCATCTTGGGCTCTAAGCTAGCTTCACACATTCGGTCCGGCCCATCTCCTTGATCCCACGTCGCTCAAGACCAGCCAGTCTGTTCGTACAACCTCCTGTAGTACTTTACGACTGGTACATATCACTGCTTCAGGTCACTACTGCAATCCCAAACTGCTTACATCATATTTCAAATGCTTTCTCCTCCGCTTCTCAACTCCGTAGATTGAACAACTATATCAACTCATATTGAATTCTAAAACTCATTCAAACATACACTTTCACTTTCTACACCATTTATATATATTTCTGACAAACTTAAACCAGTCTTTTGCATTGATGATGGCACATTTTTTTTATAAGTAAACAAAATTCGCATCCAACGGTTGATACTTTCCACAAACACGATTTCAAATCGACGAAATCAAATCGACTTTCTATTGAAACTCGCAGAACCCCAACTCAAGATTAATACAATATTGAAAAAAAAAGTAATTAGTATTAAGATTGGATATGGACAATCACAAATTTTTAAAAGCGATTTTAAACGCGAAAAATAGAATTTCATTACTAATGTGAAATTATTTAGAAAGAAATTAGGTAGTATATTACTCTTCTAGTCTTCTTACATAGAATTTATTTTC